ATAACTAACTTGTTAAAATACCGAGTTGTCATATTTGCAGATTTTCCTGAAGAAATATTATAACATTCACGTATACGACTAATTGGCCAAATAAAAATGTATGATACTAGAGATGCTATCATTTTGTAACTGTTTCTTTCATCTTTGATATTTTTCAGTCATATAGCATTAACTTTAGGTAATAAATGAAGATGTTTTATGACACCATTTTTTTATGATACCCACCAAAATAACATAAAGGTGTGACTATGTATTTAATCCCTTTTTTTCATTTCTGCAGGTCTCATACATTCATCTACGGCAACAATGAATAGACATGGCTTTGAAATATCTTAATGCTTCAAAAAAATGTATTTTGTCATCAAAATTTCTTTTTTTTGCATTTCATTCATAACATATATATGATATTTTAACTACCTTAAATAAAATACAAGACTAAAATGTGATATATTTGAAGGCGAAATCATTCAATTAGCATATCTGTCCCATCGCGTTTCATCGCGTGCGTAATACCTTATAATACGACGTGTTTTCTCCATCAATTAAATTTTCTCTTACAAAATAGTTTGGATAAACAAGCAGTTTACATTGATCCTATCCAGATGCGTACACATTGTGGTATAACATTCCCACATATATCATGAATGGGTAAATCATGGCCTCTCATTAACTCTTGAATATCTGTAGTGAATCAAGATATACATTACAAATGAGCAGAAAGTAACTTTCAGTGGCATGCTATCGAAAAATCTAATTTAGAATGACCACGACACATTAGAATCAATATTGAGTGTGATATCACTGAAATAATGACTATCCTTTATATTCCAGGAAAATATTAATAAATAAGTCCTTTACATACATACATAATACTCTTCCGTACCGCAACTCCGGTCCAGAATATGTACAGGATGCGTTACTAGACACGTCCCCGGACATATAACAAAATTTGTGTGAGTTAAGAATGCTTTGTTCTAGACGAGGTAAACCTCGAGTAGGAAATACATAGGTAACCGTGAACCAAAGTTTGTATCGTATGATGTCGTTGTTAACAGATATACAATCTGCTTGTGTTCGCCAACGAACGATGTGATTCGTTGTCTTCAAAATGTATCTTCATAGCGAGGGTCGTCAATAGGAATTAGGTTTTGTTACAAAGTCGTTTAGTTGTCTATATTCAAGTAGATTGTATCGTGACTTGTAGTGAAATATCAATAATTACTTGCATAAGTCTACATAAATATTTGATGATAAATTTACGAATGTTTGTACCAAATGTGCTTGCCGCCATGTTGTTTATAATGTTGATAACCAAACGCAATTTTTTTGCGGAAAATTCGCAAAAAACGTAACATGATGAAAATGGGTACTATGCACTAATGCTTTTTTTTTATTAGCGATTTGGTTCGAAATCAAGCGATTGTTTATTAGATAACACGAATGCAGTTTTATAGAAATTCACCATAAGACAAATAGTGATCTAAACATGGTATGTATTACCTGTAGTAACAATATTCTGAAACATTGTTCAATACTTTAATGAACAACAATTAAACACTCTTCTGTGCTCACAGATATGAGAAATAACTCTATTTTATTCACACAGGTATGCGAATGAGACATACCTTTTTCTAAATATTTTATACACAAATACCTGACAAATTGCTCATGATTTTTTTATATACACACACATGTGTGAAAAATAGCTCTACTGTACACACATATAAAAGAGGGATAAATTTGCTAAATCATTTCAATAAATGCTCATATTAACACTTTCAATAGCTGTATTTTTTTCCTTTTTTCATAATATTTTTAAATTACAGCATACCTAGAGCAAATAGGTATATTTACCACATATATAAACATTTTACGTTGTTGTGTAGGGTTAAGTCAGTCATGCGGAGCGGAATTAGTTCGGCCTATGTCACTTAGTCTGAAATGAACACACTGATGCATAGTTTGTAAATTGCCCGCTCATGTTGGATCAATAGAAAGCGATTACGCAAATACAACATGCCAGTTCCCATGCCGCGCTGCAAACACCATTACGTCTCCCCGAGAGTAATTAAATTCGGATAAACTTATTGCTCGTTTAGTTACAAGATACGCGTTTTGGTCTTCTCCAGCACGCGTAATTGATTCTAGCTACTGTAACCCGTTGATTGTTGCTGTTTTTGCACGTGAGGTTCATGGGTTGATGTTGGTGAAGTGTGTGCCATTTCATCCATAATTGAATGCAAAGTTTATATCTTTGTGCACGATTTAGTTCAAGACTTAAATAGATAGTTTTAGTCTCATGTTTATTTTGAAACAATAGGGCACAGCAGTGATCATTCTTGCCTGTATCCTTTAGTAATAGCACTATCAAAACAGAATGTACTATAGTTCCATGTAGTTTGTTTGCTTTGGCTTCGCAGCTACTTTATAAACCAATAGTTTTAATCTGAACAGGTCGACACATTCTGGCAGCTCTGTATGGCATGCCCTCTTAGCTCTTTACAAGATTAAACGTTTTAAGTACCATCTCTGCAGCGACATTCAATACTTCGATATCTAGTTTATCAACAAACAAAAACAAACATAACAGAACTATGTTTAAAATTAGCAATTTACCCTATTCTGTGGACTTCTGAAAAATTTGTAGGAGTATCCTCTGTGGTAGATACCGAGGTATTAGCGGGTAATTAGAGGAGATTTCGAGGGAGGCTTGACGACTCCTCTCCAAACCCTTAGATAAAGCAAATAGACGCATATCTACCAACAGGGATATCCCACCTGCATTTTCATTCCACGACACGAAATGCACCATGTGATATGAATAAAGGATAATAATGGCATGCAAGTTTAAACACTTAGAGAGTTGTTAGACATATGTTGGTGTGAAACGTTACACGATTATAGAACACTGTGTTATATACTTAAACCAATCATCATAACAAATGCGGGGCAATAATCTTCATTTTATTAACCTATAAATGCAGTCATGACAAACTTTACTTGATATACTTTGTAATACACAGGCGCCTTCCTTGACAGCTCAAGCATTAGTGTTACCTCCGATCTTTAAATACTGTATAACTACTGCATTTTTAAAGCAAACATGTATTTTCGGATTAAGTATATCTTTTTGAAGTTCACATCAAACAGACGTATATCTACGCCATCTGTATTTAGTCTACTATTTTTGAGTCTATATAGATGTAATAATGAATTATAGAGTTCGGTTTTCCCATTAAGAACATTTCAATTAAGAACATATACATTGAATATGTAAAGTGGTCATTTACGAAAAATAAATATAGCCATGGGTATTGAACCATATTAAAATAAACGTAATTATATAATCAATCCTAGATATTTCACATAGAAATACAAAGAAGGTTATATGGAGTCATATTACAAATCGCGTCATTCCCTTGGAATTAAATATTTGTCAACAAACCAAGGGCGACAAAATTAAATTCATAAAGGCTATATCTTAAAACATCTTTATTTAAAATGTAGTATTACATAAATATTTTTTTTTTACTAAAATTGCCCGTAAACTTATAACGGAAAATATTCCTTAAGATCATTACGACAAAAACATTACAATGTTAATCTGTATTCTAGAATTTTATCTTCAATGCATTTAACCATTCACTTACAGAAAGGAGATACACTAATTAAGGAATACCGTGTGGAGTTGACGCTCCCTATGAATAGGTTAAACGCTATTGGTGACATGGATCGGAATGTTATTTTTTTCTTCTTCGGTAACAACAGTTTCTTCCAGGTGAGCGTACATATAGGTAAACTATAACAATGATTGGTTCTGTATGTCAAAATTTGGAGTTTTCCTGTTACCATATCTGGTAACAATTCTGACTAAAGCACGGCAATGCGAATGTGAAGTAGTCGTGGTGCAGATTTCAGTACACCGCTAGCATTGTTAATGTGATATCTAGGTTCTGATCAATGTAAATGGTGTACTATTATGCCTGCACATGTTAGCTGTGTTCCCCATTAATTCTACTCTTAAAACCAATTATCCATTCCACGATGATAGAGTGCTATACTACATGTCTACCCTTTCCCCAAACAATAACACTGTATAATAAGTTTAAACAGATAATTTATTAATCCAGATTGTTTTGATTAATCTACTTTAGACTATAACCAAGTGTGACTCTTTTATTCCATTTTATCGACTTAACACTGTCCACTTGGATTCTATTTGTTAAGCCTTACCTTAGTATGAAATGTCTCAGCAATTAATTCTTATCAGGGTAACATTTGCCCCGGAGGAAGTATTATATCATACTAAGATAGGCCATGCGAGGGATAAGGGGCCGTATGATAATACGGTTGGTAAACACTTACTCTACCAGGTCTCAATGAATGACACTTTACACATCAAATAAACGAATAGAAACATAAACCCCGCTGACAATCCCGTACTGGGAGTGACGCTTGTGTGCATTGCAGGGGTATGTCTCCTTTATATCTGTATAATACGAGGATATATACGGTTACCCCAGAACAATCACCTGTCTGTAAACCTTGTGAGGAGTACTTGTTTACATGATTGTGTGTAGATATATATATGTACTTGTTGTTTGTATACGCATACTTTGCGGCAGTGTCTAGCGAACCACATCCCGCTGCCTACGGTGAAATATATAATGTATCACATGTTCAATGTCACTCTCGGCTATTGGAGACTGCGTGTACTACAAAGGAGATTGTCGACTCATCACAGGGAGCATAGCATGTCGCACAGTCTCACCGATGCATCATAGCAATAAATGGAATTTCAGGAAACCCTTAATTGGTATGCGGGCTACTTTTTAATTTTTGAATGCTGCCAACGATTATTGTGCAATGTTTTGTTGTAATTCTATTGGTCGGCCTAAAAGTAAATTAATGTCTCTTCATTAGTAAAATATCACTCGATAGTTCGTGTTTACATTATATAACTACATGTTTATACAAGATATTAAGTATACGTTACTTACCAATAAGCCACAGTATGGTATCCACAATTAAGCGAATTACGGATTTTCTGGTAGATAAAGAACACGACCGGTGACAGACGGAGTCTCCACGTCTTGGAGAATGTTCTCGTTTGCCTCTCATGACTGATAGCGACGGTTGTTGATGATGATAATGTTATTTTCCTAACGTCTCGTACAGACTCGCTACAACCGAGCGCACCAAGCTTATGTGCTGAATAGTGTGACCGCCACCCTCCTCGATCGCTTTAAATAGGCTGAGCTTCGCCTACCTTCCGGTGTGTGCCTGTCAATCTAAGGAGGATACATGTAGAAATTAATTAGCTGTAACAAAATAGTACTTAAGTACTAGGCTATAACAGAGGTTACGTAGTGGTTACTTCGAGTATCATTTACAGGGTGTTATTACAGTTGTTAGTAAATGTGTGGTGGAAGGTGTTTTATGAATATTTGAGATATAGACATCGTCGTTGATATGACTTGTTTTAGTGTACTTGTACATACCATTCAGTGTCAGTCCAGTACGTATATACCTAGTACTTGTTGTAACGTTGATGTTTACCATGTCATTTCGGCTGTTCATTAGTAGTGTTCGTGCATTGTTGAAATCGTTTTATACTAGAGAGCAAGTAGTGATCATGTAAATGTACGTTAGAACTCTTAACATCGCATACTGTACATTGTACTAAGTTCCTCTTATTATACATTGCAGTCGCTCAGTTCACTAGGGCTTAACATAAGGATTATAATTCATGAAAGTAATTGAGCCAAACCAATTGGATTATATACGTGATATTTAGTTAAGTTATTATCGTTGCAATATCTGTATTCGTTTATGAACGTTTTGATGCATAATTAACTTGCTTAAATAATGACAGATCGATATAATTGCACCCCTATGGTCCTGAACAACAAATTCAATGAAACCCTTTTTCATGTTTTGCTTTTAATGCCTACTGTTACAAAGCTAGAGAAACATCTTAAGAATCTTGTTCCCAACTCATATGATAAATCTTCGTGTTTATAATTCAAACGCCATGCTTCTCTTATCGCCAAAATCAACAGATACTACCTGTCAGCAGATATCTGTTTATGTTATATCCAGTCGATTCCCATGGTGACACACATTAATAAGTAAATGTATATAATCACATTAAAAATGAAGCTCTGATTAGAATTCATGAATTATAATTCATGGATGAAATGAACTTATTGATTAACATAAACATTATGATTTTTTACACCTCCATTCATTTGATAGGTTTAAACCACACCTTTGCAAAAACCTTAGGTGGATGTGTTTATTTGCTATGGCTTGTTTCTACCTGTTGTTATCTCGGAGCCATGTGAAGTAAAATAGAAATACAAGGACGCCTTCAACTTACAACTCAGCACAAATTAGAATATTATTAACATATTTGAAAACCCCTTCATACTCCTTCATACTCTCAATGAAATGCAAACGAGCATCATATATCAAGCATTATACCCGAAGTTGTTACATAGGAATTTCTTGTTCGTCGTGATATCGTCGGTTGGTTTTATATATCAGGTAGTCGGGGTATATTGCCTTATTTACGCTTTCGTTTAGTTTCAAAATAATGCACATGATACATAATTACATGATAGAATGTTCCTTACGTGTACAAGTTCCGAAATGACCTAACAATGTAGATACCGATCTCTTCACTTTAAACTGGGATGGTTATCTATCCTACCTAGAACAGAATTTCCGTTTTGCACGTATAATCTAATCCTTACACAATATGTCCAAAATAATTATACTTTATCCATGGCTAAATAGCATCCACTGCCATACTGATTATGTAGCTTCACGTTACCTTTGTGCCTGAAAGCTTATACGACGTACCATGTTTCATTGTATAGAGTCGCATATTATAGGAAATAAAAAGAACAGTTAAAGACAGATTTTAGTGGAGAGTCTATTTTGACTGACAAAAGAGAAACCAGCATCAACACCTCCTTCATAATTTAAAGGATTTTATTTTCTGAAAATCGGTGTGATTTCTCGATCTCAGGAAATATCCCTACAGAAATTCCTTAGTACATGTTGATGAGTGTGTCTTTATCCTTATTCTGCTTATTACAATACTTTTATTCACAAAACAAATACACATTCGATATAAAGTTTGCGGTTTTTATCAAAAAGTGAAAACATTTTATTTATGAAAACATCGATTTTAATGAGAAAATTGGAACATTTAATTTTGCTTTTCTCTTTACGCTGTAATTGGTTTTTATCGCGACGAATTAAATGCAGTGTATATGATTAATGTCTTGTAATTCAATAGGGTAGCAAATACATCATGCAAATGAAGCCTGAATAAAGATGAGGGTGTTTGAAATAATCATGTGACACATAAAGATGACCTAGAAAAGCATTTGTTCTGACTGCAAATCATCAAATTTGTAGACAGAATTCCTGATATGTTTATGAAGATCACTTATATTCCACAAGTGAGGCGGATATATATTTTAATGTTTTGAAAGTAGGACATACCAATGGTATTCATCAAGAAATCGATAATTTGATGTTTATCGTGTTTATTTCACAAAGACATTACATATTACAGGCATTACATCTTCCACCAAAACGTTTGGAGACCAGGAATAAGTAATATGTGTCACATTATAAAAATAATTAACATTATTTTCACTGCAAAAGAAACTTTACTGCGTTGGCAAAGAGAACTTATATCAATTATCTTGAACTAACCAACTGATTATTAACAAAATATTTTTTTTTTAAATTTATTTCATTGAAATTACGAAAAAAAACCTGTTTGGTGCATAATTATGTGACTGTCCACAATAATGTATATTGTCACTCCGCAGCCACAACAAATAAAATTATATCGTAGGTCGCTAAATTAGCTATTATTCGATTTCAAGAAGGATCCCATTTATACATTGTTTTACTTGCTTATTAAATAAAGCCTGACTCAATACATTACGTCTAGGAAAGGACTTCGTATAAGTTGTACAACTCGTGCCCAATCTCATTGCTAAAAGGACAATACAATACGTTTAAACTGAATATGGCAGTGCCGTATATTACCTCCTCGTACAGTCTAGCCGGTCTAATCGTCGTAGGCATGGGGTTCGTGTGTGCCACGGTTCTTTCAGTTGTGAATCAAAACAATAATAATGTAAATCAAGTGCCTGGATCAAGACAAGACAAGGGCAAACTTTACAATGCATAAGCCATCCACTGTATATAAAGATAAAGTGTTAGACAACTTCAAAGTTTTCCTGTCAGACTGTTAAACTAATGCAACACATGTACAATTTATCATAAATACTAGGTCCTGCCAGATAAAGTTTCAGTGTTTGCTTTATACTAAATTCGTCATCCTGCTATATTGTTTAATTAGTTCATCTAATTCATTATATTGGTTTTAATTTCACGTTCAAATCGTTTTCATTTGAATGACATATGAAAGAAAGAAAAAAGCCAAATTATGATTAATAGAAAAATTAGTAAATGAAAGACTAACGCTCTATAACCTCAGCGTGATATTATGAATGATAATATTATACAACGTAAACTTGTAAATGGGATTTCATGAACAGAATTAGATAAAGGGTAGTACTTTTGAATGTTAGGTAATGTAATCTTGATATATCAACTCCTTTGTGATAGCAATAATGCACACCTTACATATCTTTGCATAGGAATTTTGTACCAATGTGTTCAGAAAGAAAAACCATAGTTTATGCACTTCAACATTTTATTAAAATGTTATTGGTCCATTCGGCACATAAATATATCAGTCGAGACAAATCGAATTCTTAAGTAAATATAGGGCATCTGATTGAGCGTTAACACATGTCGTGTTAAGATATTAGTTCATGGCATACGACTAATACCACTAATCTATTGATTTCGGAAAATGTAGCGAACCGTTAATTAACAAATTTGAGTAAGGATAATGTAAATGAAATCTGATAATTTCCTGAAGTCATGTTACTGAATAGAACCATCAAAGACAAGCTAAGTCATCATTACAGATAATGGCTGAAACGTATGGGAATACAACCATTTATCTTAGCATGTTGTTGTAAGAGTAAAGTGTTGATGTACCGAAACCACTTGATAAACGTGTTACTTCATGAGTGATCGCTAATCACCACTTCAGGACAACGATACACCAGTTGTTTATGTAGTCTGGGAATGATACTGAATTCAAAGCAGAACATGTCAGTAAGTCCTGGTTATTTACAACGAGGTGTCAACCAGAGGACGCTGATAATTTCTCAATATCGTCGACCGAGGGATATATATTCTTCAATAATCATTGATATCGACGTTATTAATTTTTGAATTACATGTCATCATTCGATAAAAATCAACAAGAGAATAGTAAGGAAGGGTATGCGTCTTCTGCTTCATCGAAGACCACATTTAAATACCGTAGAAGGTGGGGATGTTAGTATCAAGAAAGGGAAAGTTCACGATTGGAAAGTCGAAATTGTCTTTTACTGAAATAAACAAAGATTTTCTTAGCTAAATGCCAAGCTCTGTAAGGATAAGGAAACGAAATACTGCGGCACGATATCTGTGTACTGCATTGACGAAATTCGGTTATTCTATTTACTTACTCGGAAGAGCGTCCATGGTCATTATATGGCCTTTATCAAATTGGGGGTTATCTACTGATCATGTAGGTATACAATTGTATAGCACCCAATATGTTTTTGCAAAATTACTCTAAGGCACCTTACACCACAATAATAATAGTATTCCTACAGTGACGGTTATGAATAAGGTAAATAGAAAAGAGGCATAAAATCAACATTATACATAAGTCAAAATGACATTTAACGCCACTATCTTGACAAACACGCAACATTTAAATATGAGAGCATATGTGAGCCACTTAATTTAATTAAAGGATACAGATCATGGGATGATTTCATTTCGACACAAAACAAATAACGGAAATCAATTCCTATGAACTACAGGAACAAGACTAGGATATATATAAGAATGAATATTTATGCATTATGATAATTAAACACGGTCTCGCCACGTAAAGTACTTGAACCTGTACAGCACGACAATGAGACCTTTCTACATTGTGTTTATGTAAGTCTGTGGGGGGAAATACCACACACAGACCCGACTGTTGACGCCCCTCAATTTACATTTGAGTAATAATTCTTCAATTAATGTTTCATTATAAAGAAAAACAATATTTAAATGAATGTTTTCACTTATG